TTCTCATTGAGAAACAACTGTATTCTGAGTCCATCACTGCATTCGTACAGGACAAAGACTAAGTTTGCAGCATAAGGTACAATCTGACTGGAGCGGAATGTGCGGTTGTGCTGCAATGAAAAATTCTCTGCAGTTAAAGGTTTTTCATCCTTATAGAAGGACATCAGAGAGAGCAGAGGCAGCAGGGTTTCACCATGTCCAACCTGGATGGTGGCAGTCTTTTTTACCCCTCCAAATCTGTTAGATTACAGGAGATAGTAAAAACACAAATGAACACAAACATCAATATGTTCTACGGAGTATTTTAAGTGGACAAATACGCCACAAATGGGATGGGAACCAGTCCACATCTCAATCTCCTAACCTGTAGTCATTAGCAGCCTTTTCAAGACGCTTGAAAATATCATGAAAGAGAGGGCAGCTGGATTTACGGTTGACGTCATGTCCATATCCCCTCTTCCAGTACTGTTTCAGGTCATTTTTGTACTCCAGGACCTAACAAGAGGCCAAAAACATGTTACTGCATAAGAGAACATACATTTGGTTGCCAAGTTTAATGTGGCTGAGAAACTCAGGAGAACTCTATGCTCAATAAATCTATTTTATGAGCTCAAATCTAATCTTAAATTCAGAGTATTCCCTAAACTGCTTTTTTTTTTTTTTGTGTTGTCATTCGTACAGGACAAAGACTAAGTTTGCAGCATAAGGTACAATCTGACTGGAGCGGAATGTGCGGTTGTGCTGCAATGAAAAATTCTCTGCAGTTAAAGGTTTTTCATCCTTATAGAAGGACATCAGAGAGAGCAGAGGCAGCAGGGTTTCACCATGTCCAACCTGGATGGTGGCAGTCTTTTTTACCCCTCCAAATCTGTTAGATTACAGGAGATAGTAAAAACACAAATGAACACAAACATCAATATGTTCTACGGAGTATTTTAAGTGGACAAATACGCCACAAATGGGACGGGAACCAGTCCACATCTCAATCTCCTAACCTGTAGTCATTAGCAGCCTTTTCAAGACGCTTGAAAATATCATGAAAGAGAGGGCAGCTGGATTTACGGTTGACGTCATGTCCATATCCCCTCTTCCAGTACTGTTTCAGGTCATTTTTGTACTCGAGGACCTAACAAGAGGCCAAAAACATGTTACTGCATAAGAGAACATACATTTGGTTGCCAAGTTTAATGTGGCTGAGAAACTCAGGAGAACTCTATGCTCAATAAATCTATTTTATGAGCTCAAATCTAATCTTAAATTCAGAGTATTCCCTAAACTGCTTTTTTTTTTTGTGTAGTTGTCATCATTGCAATAGCAAAGATGTAATAAATGCTGAATAAAAACAGTTCTATGTAATGGAGCTGACATATCCAATTACTATTTGAATCTTAATACCATTCATGATTAGATCCACTGAAAATGGAAGTGTTTCATTTCCAACCAGACATACGTACTTGAGCGTCAGACTCATCCAGCAGATCACACCAAGGGGAGTTCTCTGATTTGATGGCAAACTCATAGGAACACAAAAAGAAAGCTGCCTCTGCCATATCTAGCAAAAAAAATTTAATCAAGATTAGGATTATTTTAATTGACACATTTACATTTAACAACTACAACTGAACAGTCAGACAAATTGTCCACTAATATAAAAAGCAAGATTACCTGGGGTGAATTGACTGTATGGAATCTGAAGGCGACTGGATATTTTCCTCCGTACTGCATCCATTTCTGCTGAAGATTTAAAGCGTTCTACCTCCTTCAAAGCTGTTTTGTTTTTCTCAACACTTTCAACAAATCTCTCGCAATGGTCAAAGAATCTCATGAGTGAATCATCCACATAGTGTTTGTAATCCATATCTATAAAATAAAAAGTGTGGTTACTTGAACAACAGTTACCAAGGCCCATTACTTCAACTATAAAGTTTACTGGATTACAGGTAAACCCCACTTGCTGCAGAGTTGTTTAAACAGTCTATAAAGATAGTAATAGGCACTTTATGGCAGATTTACCAAGGACATTTCTCATGGTGTTTCAGTGTCTTTATACGCTAGCCCTAAAAGTGCTGTAGTCAACTGAGAATTCAGCAATCTGCCTTTGTTTACTACCAAGGTGGGACTCGAAAATATTTGACTCCACTGAATCTATAAAAAAAAGTCTACAACTTTAATTTAAATCTGAAAATAAACAGAAAGTTGTGGTATTATTTAAATGTAAAGAAAAATATGCACTATGAAGTAAACATTAATAAGAAATATTTAGGATTTTGCTGGAAATCTTCTGGAGTTATTGGTCATTAAGAAAGTTAACTCGTGTTGATCTAAACCTCTATCAACAAATCTCTCGCAATGGTCAAAGAATCTCATGAGTGAATCATCCACATAGTGTTTGTAATCCATATCTATAAAATAAAAAGTGTGGTTACTTGAACAACAGTTACCAAGGCCCATTACTTCAACTATAAAGTTTACTGGATTACAGGTAAACCCCACTTGCTGCAGAGTTGTTTAAACAGTCTATAAAGATAGTAATAGGCACTTTATGGCAGATTTACCAAGGACATTTCTCATGGTGTTTCATTGTCTTTATACGCTAGCCCTAAAAGTGCTGTAGTCAACTGAGAATTCAGCAATCTGCCTTTGTTTACTACCAAGGTGGGACTCAAAAATATTTGACTCCACTGAATCTATAAAAACAAGTCTACAACTTTAATTTAAATCTGAAAATAAACAAAGTTGTGGTATTATTTAAATGTAAAGAAAAATATGCACTATGAAGTAAATATTAATAAGAAATATTTAGGATTTTGCTGGAAATCTTCTGGAGTTATTGGTCATTAAGAAAGTTAACTCGTGTTGATCTAAACCTGTATGAAACATAAAAGAGGATATTTTGAGAAATGTTCCAATGATTTTCTGTCCAACAGAAGTCAGTGGTCACCAAAACTGTTTGGCTACTAATTTAACATTTTCTAAAGTCATACAAGTCACGAATGACATGAGGGTGAGAAATAATTTTTATTTTCTGGGTGAACTATCTCTTAAGTTAAAATGTTAAAGAGACCAACAAAACATCTATTAAGTAAGGGACACTAAGCCTACCCTGAACATCCCAGAGTCGGTGAAGACCCTCTTGAAAAGCTTTGACACTATCAACACAGCGATGCTTGGAGCTCGTGATGAACTCAATGTGGTTGGCACGGAGATTATCCTCAGAAATCAAAGTGGGGAACGACTGTGCCAGTCTCACAGCCAAATGCCTGTGGTCATCGCACCCTTTCTCCACCAGTCTGCCGTCCATGTCTTCAGTGTACCACATTTTCCATGTCTTAATGTCATTTAGCCACGAGGCTGAACCCGACGCGTGAGACACGACCAGTTCAAACAATCGCGCGATCTTTTTCACATTTTTGGTGGTTGGATAGCGCGTCCCGTGACGTATAACCGACACCATATGAATGGCACGGCAATCTGGAGAGGGGGGAGCTACCAGTGATTTGTTTACAAACAAAATGTCATCTAATAGATGTGGGTTCACTTCCTCGTACCTGCCTTTTGTCCCAAAGTGATGCGCTATCGCCGGTATCGTTGGCCTGGCAAGTTTAGATAATGACAAACCAACCATAATGCTCAAAGAAGTGATAAGAAAGTTCGCGAGGAAGTAAGTTGTTTTCATTTCTGGATGTGCGATACCTGTTTCACCTAAAATACCCGTAGCTTGGTCACCTGTACGTTCATTCAATCAGGATTGCCAGGTCTGTGTAACAAAACCAGTCCAATTGCTACTCAAAAAAAGGGATAACCACGGCCAAAACGAGCACTATCACGTTCCGGGGGGAAACCGCTGACTTGGCAACACTGCATTCAATGCCTAAGTGAAGCCAGCCTCAAAATCGAGATACAAAACCTTCCGGGTTAAAACACAGCTATAATATCAAAGAACTTACCGATTGTTCTAATGATCTCTCAGTGATTGATTTCAAACATATTACTGCTTTACATGGTTTACACACACACACATATATATATATATATATATATATATAT